GGTTGGTTTAGAGTGGGATTGGTGTACGGTCGGTTTAAGGTGGCCTTAGAGTGCGGCTAAGATTTACCAGGGGGATTAAAATGGGTCTGAGGGTAGGGATTTGGGCGCGTTTAGGGTGAGCTTGAAATAAAGACACCAACAAATCAACCTCCCAACTGAGTTCATGTAAGAGCAGTGAAAGGAAGAAGTTGCCAACTTGCAAAGCCAGTGTCCCTGTACCAAACGTCATGCTGCAGAATGAGGACTGGCTCAAGCCTCAGCGTGCAAAATGCTCGGCCCCACTCAACTGGCTGTTCACATGGCTGCGAAGCTCGGTCAAGCGGCCGTCGCAACTTGAACTGGCAGCTCGGTTCAGCTGAGAGAATTCCTAGGCCATTGAAAATGGAACGTGAATCTACTCGGCAACTGCTCGCCTCTCCATCGGCACTCTGCTCGAAGGGTGTGACGCACGTCAAAACAAGTGTCCTTGGCTGGAAGCATGAGTTCAAACTTCTGGACATTGCCACTGCCACTGACCAGAAGCAACACAGGCGTATGTTGCGGACGACATGTGGGACCACAAACCTCATTTTTTGGGACAGGCACGTTGTAGTAGTCGCGGTAGATGTCACCTTCAGCTTTGGTGCTTGGCTTGAACACTCTGACTTCATCATTTCACAACTCAGCAACCCATTGGAGCATGCTCTCACGGAATGTTCGGCCAAGAAGCTGATGTGGTGGTCGTTGCTGTTTTTGTTGTGGCTGTCGCAGTAGCGCTGGTCGTTGTGAGAGTTGTCACAGTTGCTGTCACGCTGGTAGCCGTCACGCTGGTTGTTGTCACAGTTGTTGCGGTCGTCGTCGCGGTTGTTGCTGTCACGCTGGTCGTCGTCACAGTCGTTGCTGTAACGCTAGTCGTTGTGACAGTGGTTGCGGTCGTCGTCGCGGTTGTTGCTGTCACGCTGGTCGTCGTCACAGTTGTTGCTGTAACGCTGGTTGTTGTGACAGTGGTTGCGGTCGTTGTCGCGGTTGTTGCTGTCACGCTGGTCGTCGTCACAGTCGTTGCTGTAACACTGGTTGTTGTGACGGTGGTTGCGGTTGTTGTCACGCTGGTCGCTGTCACGCTGGTCGTCGTCACAGTTGTGGCCGTGATGCTAGTCGTGGTGGTAGCGGTTGCTGTGACACTTGTTGCGGTGACTGTGGCTGTTGATGATGTAGACGTGGTAACTGTCATAGTGGTAGCTGTCATAGTTCCTTGCCACAAAGGTGCTGAACACTATAGCAGCAATAGCAACCCACCTGTTGTGGTGGTGGTGCACTCATCTTGGCCCATCCTTGACTTGCAAGTGCCCAAATGGAAACACAAATGTCTCGCTGCAGAATGCATCATGTGTTGGTTGTTTTTTTACGATGCATCCACACACGGAAATTGCAAATCCAAAGAAACGCGGATGCAACTCCAAATTCAGGTCAGCATCGGGAGCACCAGCATACCAGGAACGAAAGACCTGCCGTCTGGAAAGCCAGCCCAGCATGTCCTGAGACAAAGGTGTTTACCTTCGGAACTTGCTTCAGTCGCTCAGCCAGCGGCTGGCTGCGGCACAGCAGAAGCTGCGTGAGGAACACGAGGGAGCGCATCATGACTCCTGCCAAATCTAAACATTAGTTCATTACACGAGATCAAGAGTTTCATGCAGCCTTGCACTTCACGCAAGCTCCTGATTCACCAAAATTGCTGGCTTCTGGCTTGGCCCCGGCCGACTGTTGAACCGAGGAACATGCAACAAAATGACAGTTTGCTTCATGAACTCAAGCATTCAAGCGTAAGCGGTTTCATATGATAAGTATACTTTTGCATGATTCGCTAAAAGCCAGTTACAATTTGACAGGATAGAATTCCATACCACGAAAAGCCAAGACAAATCAAATTCAGCCTGCACCAAAGGATCTAGTCCGGCCCGAACATGCGCAACCAAAATCGGCTTTCAGATCCCAAACCCACGTCCCAAAGTTTGGACTTGTCTTCATTTGAATTTTATTGGTTTTGATTTGGTGTTCCACTGCTTCCGTTTCTTCGCACTTGGCCCCACCCACCCACCCATACCCACCCATACCCACCCATACCCACCCATACCCACCCATACCCACCCATACCCACCCATACCCACCCATACCCACCCATACCCACCCATACCCACCCATACCCACCCATACCCACCCATACCCACCCATACCCACCCATACACACACACACACACACATGCACATTCAGACCTGGACCTCCAGCCCACACACACACATTCTCAGACCCGACCTGCGCTTCTCAAACCCGTGCAGGGCCGATCCAAGTCTTATAGCTGAATAAGAACCAGGTAGGCACCCGCCCCATTTCAAGCAGAGCAAGAACCTCACAGCCAAAGCTGTTTGAGGAATGAATTTGTTGAGCAAGCCTGGAGCACAAAGCAACTTGCGCAAAGCAACTTTTCAAACAAAGGTTACAGAGAGCAACTTGCGCAAAGCAACTTGCGTGGAGCACTTGCACAAAGCAACTTGTACAGCATCTTGTTTAGAGCACTTGCGCAGAACAACTTGCGCAAAGACTTGCGCAAAGCAACTTTCAAGAACATGTGCACAAAGCACTTGCTTGCGCAAAGCAACTTGCGCGAGCAAACGCGCGAGCACTCTTACGCAAGAAAACTTGTGTGAGGGACTAAGATTAAAATTTGCTCTGCAGCGCGAGCTCAGTATCATGCACAAAAGCAACGTCCACAGTTGACATCATGATTACGCCGCCTGTTCTTCTACATTTGTTAAGCTGGGACACACATGAAGTCGTTTAGCAAGGCCGGCCCTCGCTCTGAATCAAAGGAACAGGCCAGGCAGCAGCCTGCAGAAAGCATCAACAAAGGAACTTCTCGAAGTTCACTGCCTTGCGGAGTCTGGTCATCTCACTCTATCCAGCGGGCAGAACCCTAAAACATGCTGCAGTGCTGTTTGCACTATTGCAGCCAGCAAAACCAGCGCCCCAACTGTACTGCGCGATGTTGCTTGCGCTGGTTCCAAGGGAACATGTGGTGCAACAAAATTACAGCTGAAGAAACCAAAAGGGCAAAAGCGCGCTAAATGGTTGTGGGTCAAAAATGGGTATCCATTTTGGAACCTTAGTAAATGGAACCAAGGACTAAAGCCTGCGGTACCCTGGTGCTTTAATTTTGACCCATACCCAAATGCATTGATTGCAGTCTGCCACGAGAAGCCAGCCCCCTAAACTCTAGTGTGACCGGCCAGGGCGATGGATTTTGCAGCAAACAACTTCTCCAGTCAGGTCCAAGATATATTGGCAATTCCCTCCTTCTTGCAAACTTCTGAGTCTTGGCGCCTTACCGCGCAGTCACACGTAATTGATTTATATCTTCCTTCCATGCGTCAGATTTAGAACATGCTGTGTTGCCGTAGTCACGTTTGGTGTGCATGAGAAGGCTAAACTACTTTTTGGCTCCCTATTTTGACACTTGCACGTATCCACAATAACTCTACATACTGTTGAGAACACTGCAAATGCGGTTGGAATGAGCAAAGGATATTGAGTTCGCAAGCCAGTTCGCGCAATGGGCGCTAAGCATCGTGTGCTCAGATTCCAATGCGCAGTTTGCACGGTTTTCTTTTCTCATGTAAGCTGCATGCAGTTTGCGGTGAGGATGTGAGACAAACGTGTGCAGGCACAATGCTTCCGACACTCAGGCAATCATCGCGAACCCAACAATTGGTTGTGTCCCAGCAAAGGCTGCGGCTGGAATTTTCGTTGTGCGTTCTCTCCACTGCTTTAAATGGAGGAACTCAAAGCGGATTTCACGCCAGGACCAGGGCCAGGGCCATCAGGGAGCCAAATGCCTGGCTTGGGCCAGTCACGAGCGTTCGTTTCTGACCAAAGCTGGGGCCCCCAGCAAATCGTAATTGGGTACTGCCGGAAAGGGCGGCACCGTCGTCGAACATCGTCATCGTCTTGGCGCTCCGAACATGACATGGTGGTACCCCCAGGTGAAACCACACCTCTGAACCTGTTTCGAATGGCAACACCGCAGCATCTTGCATCCGCGACGCCGTCGTCATGGACGTGGTCATGGTAACCTGCACATGACGCCAACGCATGAGTGGCCAAGCGCTTTTTTGAGCCAAGTTTCTGTGACCGTGTTGGTGGTGGTTGACGTGGTGGTCAGATCAACCAGGTCGATCACAAGTCCTCATGCCAGCAAAGATGTGGCGCTCGTGTGCGTTCGCGTGCTCTCGTTCGTGAGCACGTGAGTAGGGTGCGTGCGCGTGCTCCATGTGTGCCAAATATTTTCCCCGGACAGCAAACACAAAACCCCTAGGCCAAAACAAGTCTTCCTAATTTTTCCCTGCGTCACATGTAGCTTTGCAGGTAAAAACCTCCTCAAGCAAGCCCGCTGCAACAACATACCATTTCTTTAACCATGGCGGAGATTTGGTTTGGTGCACTTTCCCCAGTACTTGATGGTTTAGTGAAGGTCTAGTCCGGAGTAGTTTGTGTGTGTGTGTGCGTGTGTGTGCGGAGTGACAGAATGCCGTGTCACCACCTTTGACGCCTTTGATTTCATTAGCAGGGGGGCACGGCGCCAGATTGCAGACCGTGCCTAACAAAGCTGTGCAATCTGGCGGGATACGGCGCGTAGCTGCAACATTTGAGTGATTCTGAGTCCTTTTGGCCCTCTTCTTTTGCCGCTGTGTGTGTGTGCTTCATGTTGAATCTTGTAACGTTTTCGCTGCTAGACGGAAACCAAGTGACTGTGAGCCGAAACTCCACCTACTCGAGACTCATCGGTTGTACTCGAAAGATTAGCACTCTCCCTTGGGAGTTGAAGTGTGATCACCCCATCTTGGGGGAACCTCGGGTGTACCCATCGTGTGACCCCGGGCCGGTTCGCCGGAAAATTTGACCTCAACGTTCTTATCATAGTCCAGCAGAATTCCACGTGTAAGCAGGAACGAGGTTTCACTAAAAGGAAGACAGCCACCAGATCATAGTTACGTCTCACGGGCGCCTGGGCGCTGCTTGCTGATCCCTTGATGCCTTGCATTGTCTTGCCTTGTCCTTCTGCATTCACGCGGATTGCCTTGTGTTGAGTTGATTGGCATGACCTTGCGTTGTCATTCAATTGTGGTTTGTTGCTCTTATTCTTCCTCAAGGTCGATCTACACCATCCCCTGGGTTTTGCTGTGTCGTCATGTCTCGCCGAGATGAACGTGACAGATCCAGAACTCGACGCAGACGTGACAGGAGCCCAACCCCAACTCGCAAATCTCGCAGACAAGGTGAATATGAAGCAACCGTGATCCCCGATGGCATTGATTGGTCTAACCCGACAATGTGGCAGCACAATCCGAGCAACAATCTCTCCAGCTCCATGCCACACTCACATCCTCCTCCTCCTCCTCCTCCTCCTCCTCCTCCGTTGACACAGTTTCATCAGCCTGCGCCTGCCATCAGTACCCGGCAATGAACTACTAACACTGCGCCGCTCCCTCCGGAACCCACCCTCACCAAGAACATGAAGACGGTGACGCCTTCCCCACCACTTGCTCCACCTGGACGTCACCTGGAACCCGCAGCAGCACCGATGAATCAGGTACCATTGCCAGTGCAACCTAATCAGACATGTCTAAACCCACCAGCGGACTGGCAACCTGGCGAGGGCATACTCCGTAGCTAATACTCCTCACAATTCCCAACGCGACATGTTGGGCATGGACATTCGTGACGTTCGCCTGATCCAGGTCATACATGGAGGCATTTCGAACTGGCTGCTGCGACCGTTTGGCCATGGACGGTTTGTGACATGGGAAGGGTTTCGCACACGCACCGAAGCCCTACTGTGGAGCACTTCTTCGCCGGCCCAACCCCTCAACCTGCTCACCTTGGAAAAGGATCTAGCAGGTTCTATGGGACTGAACATTGATGACTTCAACCAGAGGATTAAGGTTCACGAGCACCTGGGCAATCTCATCCTGGAGTTCTTGAATCAGCATCACCAAGCCATCAAGGTCCGTTCCCCGGAGGATGAGACGCTTCAGAAGTATCATTCGGTTCAGCGGGAACATTAGTTGCTTCAGGCACATTAGTTGCTTCAGGCACAGTGCTCAGCGGCGCCCAACATCAACAAAGACGAGGCGACGCTGGTCACGCCGCCACCGGTGAATCGCTCACTCTCTTCTTCTCCCTCCAGTTCATTGGCAACGGCGAGTGCGGCCGCACTTGATGGCAAGTCTTTTGACGGTCAAGCTCAGCCACGCGTTACGCAGTCGCCCCATGGAATGTCTCCTCAGCCTGTTGCTAAGCAGGTCACGCCTGCCGGACCGGCACGTGAATCCGTCACACCGAAATTGCTGACGATGCACAGCACGCCGGAAGACGTCATCAAGTAGACCAGTGACCAGACTCGCGTCTTCCCACGACCACTATTTCGCAGGCATTGATGAAGTGGAACCACCCATCCCGCCTCAATGTCAACAAAACTTTGGATGCCATGGCCGTTCAGCTCCAGCAAGCACGTCAACGCTTGGCAAGAAAAAGAGGCACCGACGTTTGCTGCCCTGGCGTCTTCTGTGGGGTCTCGAGCCAGTCTACATCACCAAACAGGATGATGTGATCCTTTCAGTGCTAGTATCAGCCCGGAGAGGCATGCGACAGCGTGATTTGCGGTTGAAAACTTGCATGGCATTGCCTTGTCTAATTTTCCGGACTTGCGCCTTGCCTTGACCTGCGCTTGCCATTCTCACTTGCATGCGCGGATTCACTCATGCTTGCATGGTTGAATCCTTGACCTGTGTTGATGCATGTTGCCGCTGAGAAATTTTACAACATGTGGACTGAGTTTCAGTGCCGTGGAATTTTCGATGATGTGGTACACTTGCGTACCTTGTCTACCTTCCTGGAAACATTGACGTTTGTGTCAGCGGTTCTGTTTCCGGAGATGTCCAGACCTCCAGTACCTGCATATGAATATGAATCAGTTCAACACTTGGCTCACCTTGACATGATCATTGAAGTGCTTACGCTCGTCCGCATTGCCCTCCAGATTCCAGCAACAGCGGTGTCTCATACCCGTCATGCCGCGGACAACAGATACGCGCTCCATAGATGCCGTATGACTGCGTATTTACTTGTTCGCTTCCTACAACGACTTGTTTCGCAAGACAACGGATACATTCCGCCATTCTTTGAATTTCTTCATTCGTTGTTGCGGGACGTCATGTATTCCTCATTTGCGGACCAGCGGCACCTCAAGTCATTACGTGCTCGCCTTCCGGACCTATACGACTTCATACAGGATCCTGGACACATCAGGATATCGCCGTGGCACACCCCGTGCTACATTGGAGCCACAGATCAAGATGTCCTGCGTCGTGAACATTCTCGATGCCGCAAGTATTTACAACTTTTGCGTGGCCAGCATGCATTCTTTGAACCTGCTCTTCATTACTGGAAACGAGCCAACAATTATTGGCTGTTCTGCGCAATTCCTATTGAAATTCGACTTCCTACTCTTTCGGTTTGGGCCCAGGAAAGCAAATGGCAGTACCCACGTCACTGGCGCTTCACAAACGATTCCGTCGACGCCTACATCCTAATCTACATCGTCAACTACGACCGGAAGTGATGGATGATATTCAGGACACTACTCTACTTTGTATCGACTTGGTTCCAACACAGGTGCGTGATTTCAAACAATGCGTCATAGGAGGAAATACCCGCTTGCGTCAGGAGCACTGTGTGATTCCGAGGGGCGGCGCCTACGCCGACCTCGCCGCTTCGCATTACCATGACTGCGTGCACAGCAAGGATGGGAGATGGAAGCTTCGATCATCGATTGCGGTCCCCAGCTATGTACGGGGGTTGTTCTGGTGAGGGAACTGGTGATGAGTACTGCCTGGCCAACATATGTGCCACACCTTTGGCGCACTGGAGGCCACCCCGCTGCTACGCCACTCTATGGTGATGTTTCATGCAGGTGATTTTCGAATCGTGACGCTGCCTGCTGGTCGATGTGGTCTTCCGTGGAAAATTGAAGCATTGACTTGGCCTTGCTTGATGTTTCTGAATGTTCGCGGGTTGTGCACACATGCGGTTGCCTCACTTCATGACATGTTTGCAGCCGCTTTCACTGATTCTGTCGTAGCTTGTAGCTTTGGCTGTCATGGATCGTGGCGACTTTTTACGAGAGTGTCGTAACCTTTTGTGCGCCATCTCGTCGCAGATTAGTATACTACTGGCTGGATTACAGCGCATTGAGGGTCATCAACGGCATCAACCTAACCCTCAGCCGCCACCACCTCCGGGCGTACCGCGTGCTAATCCACCTCTTCCACCTGTGCCGCCTGAATCACACATTGCCGCCATTGCCACCCCCTCGGACACCGGCACCAGCATCGCTGAGAGCACCACCAGCAAGGACATCGGTCAATACGGCGCCCATCACGATTGTTGCCACCTCCGCAACCTTGGCAGATGAAGATCCCATTGAACCCATTAGTGACAGTGCATCGAGGGAACGCAACCGGAGGAGAAGGTCACGAAGGCAAGAAGAACGTCGTCATCGATCTAGGAGCAGAAGTCGGTACCGGCGACCGCTCAATCGTCGCGCACCTCAAGCTCCAGCAGATCATCGTGGCAATCCTTCTAAAGCTTCCCCTGCAGTAAAAGCCATGCCAGCATGTCGTCCATCCGGATTGCCCAGGACGCTGATCTTCCGAACAGGGTGAAAGACACCACCTCTCACATGCATCAGTGGCACGCACTGTTTTGCGCATGTTGTGTCAACTTGCAGCCATTCTTTGCTTGAGTTGTCATTTCCTTGCTATTGGTTGCAATGTGGCTGTCCGCTGAGTTCGTGACTAACCGCCTCTCAGATCAGTGCCTCCCTGGACACCTTGAACTTTGCCCTCACAGTGAATCGGAGTGCGGAGTCTGGTGTGGGTGCAGTTGTGGCGCTAAGACAGCCACGCAACTCGCGACATGGTTTTCGGCCACGAATCATCACCAAGCGCGTCACATCGGACCGTTCGCCACGAGGACTTGACCAGTGGACACATCGTACACGTGGTATGTGCCCGTGACATCTCCTCCTCGACATGATCGTCATGCCGTCCGAAAAGCAGTGGTTGACCACGAGGCACTTCCTGGAGGCACGCCCGGGCCTGACATCATCGCGAACCTTCCTCCACCCATGATGACCCCGCGCGCTACGTCAACCCGGACTCACACCAACATCACACGAGGACCCATGGCTACACCGACATCCATTCCGTCCAAGACCCCCGATTCAGACGGACCACTCCATCCGCCCGCGCCCTGATGCTTTGTTATTTCGCCCATCCCCCGCTCTGGCACATGGACCTCGTGAACTTTTGCAGGAGTTCGCAATTGCGCTTCGCAATGCCTACCATGAGCCATTTACGGCTTGGACGCAAGGGGAATTGGACGAGATGGTCAGGCGTAAGAAGGACAAGGACTCGCGACCTTCCTGCAAAACAATAGCCCGCTTCCTTCAGAAAAGCACGGAGGAGGTGAAGCATGCCTGGAAGGTCTTTCAGCAACTTGAAGTGCGGAATTAAGCTTCATCCAAGCCGATTGCTGACTGCAGCTGCGAAAATCACGCTGATAATTGTTGAGTGTTTGTTGTCTGTTGCGTCACTTGACATTGCGCAGCATGAAGACATGATGGATCAAGACATGATGGAACAAAATGTTCAGACGCTCATCACCTGCACAAATGGTGCACATCCGGCCTGGCTACAATATCATGGTCCTGCGCATGATGCTCACAAGTACCAACGTCGCGGTGGAACCCAATTGCACTTACTACCACCTCATTACGGCGATCGCCATCCACGCCTAGCGGATCTGACCTGGCTCATGAGGCATCATACCGCACTAGAACATCGGGAGCGCACCCTCGACGTCTACGTCGCTCACGCAGTGCGCCGTCTACACGCAGAACAAAGCATTCCAGCAAACGAGCTTGAACCTTAAGAAGTGTCACCGCGACATCAGCGCCACGTTACTCGCGCAGACCATTCACCATATTCACTGCCAACAGATCGTCCCGTGCTACACGTTCCAGGTCTATGCGATGCAAGCACTACTGCCATGCAATCCTCCTCAGTGCCTATCTCCGCGTGTACGATACCAACCTGGACACTACAACTGCAGATGCATCCTCAGATTCAGCGTAGGTTGTGAAATTGCGTTCATGTGCATGTTTGTTGGACGCGTCGTTGAATTATCTTGAGATGTCTTGCGTGGCTCTTGCTCTCACAGACGTCCTGGTTTCAAAAATACTTGAGTTGTCTCGCCGCCATTGTTTGTGCATCATGTCCAACTCGACGATGAACGGGAGGTGGACTGTACCACGCTGCTTCGAATATGACATCGTCGCTGGCCCTGGTGACTACTTCTCCGAATGGATCAGAGTCGACACGCCGGGACAGTGGCAGCCAGTGGTTGAATCCACCATGGGACCGCCTCCGGACCTTCGTCACACCTATCGGGAGTGGCAAAAGTTCTACCACTTTGAGGTGTGTTGGCCTCGCGACAGGACGGGAGGCACCACTACTGACTCGCTGACCCAGCCGGTCGTCCTTTTATACCTGGCATTACCGTAACTGGAACACCAGAGGATGGCAAAGACTCGATCCGGCTCCGGCCGGTCCGCCTACAGCCGTCGTGATGGCTGGCGTGCGTGGTCCTTGCTCGGGTTCCTCATCGGCAGCCTCCTCAGCTTCGGATGGTGCTTGGCGTGCTCCATCACCGTAGACCATGTTCTGATTTTGAATTTGATTGGGAAAGTGAGACTTGGGTTAGAATTCAACAATGAGTGACAATGCTTCACTGATCGCTGCCGTGTCCAAACCGTTGAATTCGGTCTTGCATGCTCCTTGTTTACGATGGTCCGTCTTTCATGTGCTTGTCTGACACGTCTTGTGACTCGCGGCATGATGCGTGACCTGACTGCAGCCGTGTGTATTTCGGATTTGCTCTCCGGATCTTGTGCAGTCATGCCGTGGCTAGAGTGGTGCCCCGATCCTCAACCACCTGAGGCTCAGTGGGTCAAAGTCTTCCACCCAGGCTCGACATACCCCCGGTGCCGGAAAACACCTATCCACGCTGACACAATGATCAGCGTCAACAGACAGGGCAGTGGCAGCAATGGGCCAACCACTACGAAACTTGGACCATTCAAGATTGGCAGCGCCAAGGATACCAGAGGATATTGACACGGCAGGAGTCATTTGCCCTCCACAACGCCTTGGCAGAGCCGCCAGATACCATGCAAACCACTGCTACCTCCATTCAGGTGGAATAACTTGGAGCAGATCAACGCCGTCAGCCTCAGCATGATCGTTCCCTGATGAACCTCATCTCCGGCTCCCCTCCGTTGACTGATGCAACACATCAATCTTCGCTGATCTTCCCGTCCGGATTGACACTGTGCAGCGGGGTGCACCTCTTCCAGCTACACATGGCGATCCTGTGTCCCCGTCTTCTGAGCGTCATCGAGCGGACCGTGCTAATTCACTTTCTCCTCGCCGCTTCGGATATTTTGGTAGACACTAGGAACTCGCTGATTTGGTCTTCCGGATGAAAAGTTGCATTCGCCTCTGGCTTGTCAATCCCATGGTTCTACATCTCAGACCCGTCGGAGGCAACAGTCCCGCAGCTGGTGGGTTTTTACATCATGCTCCGCCATTTCTTGAAGCTCGCAATTTCAGTGTGCTTAGTCTCAGTTCTAGGATTATTCGCGGCGCAGCTGTGCCATTTTATCCTTCCCACGGCGCTACAACATCGTCGCCGTCTCATTTTGGCATTGGCGACGCAGGATCAACGCTGTGCGCGGTTCGCCTACTGAGAAGGATTTCTTTCCGGCGGTTCACCAAGCAGTGGAATCTTTCTTCCACTTCCACGTTCCTTCCTGGGGAACAGAAAAAAAGAGACGCAGACAAATACAAACAGCGAGATATTCCCCCTGTTCAATCTTAGTTGATTTTCCACCTTCGCTGACGCAACAGATCTTGATTCGACTCGCAGCCCTTCACTCGAACCCAGCCCCGCTCACTCCCTCGAGTTTAAGCGTGTGCGTGCGTGTGTCTGTGTGTTGTGTGTGCGTGCGCGTGTCTGTGTGTTGTGTGTTGTGTGTTGTGTGTGCGTGTGGGTGTGCGTGTGCGTGTGCGTGTGCCTTGCGCGTGCGCGTGCGTGTGCGTGCGCGTGCGCGTGTGCGTGCGTGCGCGCGCGTGGGCGGGCAGGCGGGCGAGCGCGCGTCTGCGTTTGCGTCTGCGTCTGCGTCTGCGTCTGCGTCTGCGTCTGCGTGTCTGTGTGTGTGTGTGTGTCTGTGTTTGTCTATCTGTCTGCTTCTGTCTGTCTGTGTCTCTGTGTCTCTGTGTCTCTGTGTCTCTGTGTCTCTGTGTCTCTGTGTCTCTGTGTCTCTGGGTGGGTCTCTGGGTCTCTGTGTCTCTGTGTCTGTGTGTCTGTGTGTCTGTGTGTCTGTGTGTCTGTGTGTCTGTGTGTCTGTGCGTCTGTGCGTCTGTGCGTCTGTGCGTCTGTGTGTCTGTGTGTCTGTGTGTCTCTGTCTGTCTCTGTCTGTCTGTGTGTCTGTGTGTCTGTCTCTGTCTGTCGCGAGCGCGTGTCTCCGCGTGGTATTTGAGTGAGCACATGTTGCGCGTGACGTGAGCGTCGTGCAGGTGTTGCTGCGCGTACGTGCGTATGCTATCGTGGATCGTGCGCAGCGTACACCTGTGTGTGTGTGTGTGTGTGCACCTGTGTGTGTGTGTGTGTGCGAGTGCGTGCAATGCAGCCCTCCCCTCTGCAATGGGTGGATTCCTCGGGTTTGAGTCACAAACAAACATGCAGGCCAATCAAAATGAGGCTTGTAAATTGGTGGGGCCCGAAAACACATGCGCCTCACTTGTCTGTCTGTCTCTGTCTGTCTCTGTCTGTCTGTCTGTCTGTGTGCGTGTGTGTCTGTCTGTGTTTGTGTGCCTTTGCGTGTTTCTGTGCGTGTGTGTGCTGAACTGCTCCAAGGTGCCATCATCAAGGTGCGATGTTACCCCACCGGTCGTTGCGCCGGGCACCACCACGATCTTCGTGAAAGTCTCGGCATTTGTCTATTTCGAGATGAAACTGATGTGCCAAATCTCAATTCACATGATTCCCCTCTGGCACAGAAAGTCCCACACTGAAGGGCCATACACTGAGTGCGCTGTTTGCTCGGAAGCGGCCACAGGAACTAGCTCACTTGAAGCCTGCTGCAAACCTTCCTAGACTCTCGGGCGATGGGACTGCCATAGTGGGACAACAATAGGATCCAGTTGCAGTACTGCAAGCCAAGCGTTCTACTAGGGCCATGCCACGAACACAACTTTAATCAACTTGATCGCCCATCTGTTCTGTCCGTGTGTCTGTGTGTTTGGTCATTCTGCTGGGCTTGTGAGTCCCTTCGTTTTAGCTGTAGAACTGGCGAGACTGAGGGTCAGAACTCTGAGAGCTTTCATTCAACACGGAGCATGGCTCCATTCCTCATTCAAACCCATTCTCTCTTTGTGCCTTATCGTTTAGGAGTGAATCCTGAGCCGGGGATTCCCATGTTCTCATAGTTCGTCTGAGTGCCGAGCAGTGCTGGTAATGTTCAGCTCCACTGAGTACTTGGAGTGCTCGCAGCACTCAGCGTTTGGCGTGCCTTATGTTGAAAACGACCCGAATCTCCAGGCCTTCAACGCCAAGTCTGCAACGCCAGCACACTTGCCAGGAGACTCTTGGCCACTGTCACAAGCGGAGAAGCGCCCTTCTCGATGTGGCCACCTCAGTTTGTCCGAGAGACGCCTACGCAAATGCAATTTGATACACTTGAACAACACAAAGTTGCATCTGCTGCGTCAACACGAGCTTCACCGCTGAGTTTGTGCCTTTCCGAATTTGTGGCGATGCAGCGATGGCACAATCATCCACGGGATAAACGAGGTAAACGTCCACGAAGCTCTCGTCCACGGAGCCGTTCTTCATGTTCGGGCCGAAGGTCAGCATGCCTTAGGGTAGTTTGCATGACTGGCCACTCATGTGCTCAACAAGGCCTTTGTACTCTCCAAGCATGTCATCCGTGTCGACGTATGAGCCACTGCCTGAAGTCAAAGCATGCTTCTGCACAAATGTGAGCTGCGCAAGGCTGGCGCAAGCACGGCATTGGATGTACGCCTCTGCCGCATACCTGCCAGGCCACTCTTTGACATGTTACAGGAGAAAACTCCACACACACGTCTAAGTGCTTTGGCGACAAAGCGCATCTAAGGATGTGGCAACTGTTGCGAGACCAGATTTTTCGGACAGAACCACTGATAACTCCCGGCCACCACACATTCAGACAACGCCCCTGCACTCCTCAGCAAGCTGGATTTCGCAGCAGCGTGCAGCAAATCTGAAAGCATTGCTCAGCAAGCTGTACAAGCATCAACACCGCTACAAGTAGCATTATTTAGGGTGGGATCTAGGTGAGGTTAGAGATGAGTTTAGGGTTGGTTTAGAGTGGGATTGGTGTACGGTCGGTTTAAGGTGGCCTTAGAGTGCGGCTAAGATTTACCAGGGGGATTAAAATGGGTCTGAGGGTAGGGATTTGGGCGCGTTTAGGGTGAGCTTGAAATAAAGACACCAACAAATCAACCTCCCAACTGAGTTCATGTAAGAGCAGTGAAAGGAAGAAGTTGCCAACTTGCAAAGCCAGTGTCCCTGTACCAAACGTCATGCTGCAGAATGAGGACTGGCTCAAGCCTCAGCGTGCAAAATGCTCGGCCCCACTCAACTGGCTGTTCACATGGCTGCGAAGCTCGGTCAAGCGGCCGTCGCAACTTGAACTGGCAGCTCGGTTCAGCTGAGAGAATTCCTAGGCCATTGAAAATGGAACATGAATCTACTCGGCAACTGCTCGCCTCTCCATCGGCACTCTGCTCGAAGGGTGTGACGCACGTCAAAACAAGTGTCCTTGGCTGGATGAGTTCAAACTTCTGGACATTGCCACTGCCACTGACCAGAAGCAACACAGGCGTATGTTGCGGACGACATGTGGGACCACAAACCTCATTTTCCGGGACAGGCACGTTGTAGTAGTCGCGGTAGATGTCACCTTCAGTTTTTGTGCTTGAACACTCTGACTTCATCATTTCACAACTGAGTAACCCATTGGAGCATGCTCTCACGGAATGTTCGGCCAAGAAGCTGATGTGGTGGTCGTTGCTGTTTTTGTTGTGGCTGTCGCAGTAGCGCTGGTCGTTGTGAGAGTTGTCACGGTTGCTGTCACGCTGGTAGCCGTCACGCTGGTTGTTGTCACAGTTGTTGCGGTCGTCGTCGCGGTTGTTGCTGTCACGCTGGTCGTCGTCACAGTCGTTGCTGTAACGCTAGTCGTTGTGACAGTGGTTGCGGTCGTCGTCGCGGTTGTTGCTGTCACGCTGGTCGTCGTCACAGTTGTTGCTGTAACGCTGGTTGTTGTGACAGTGGTTGCGGTCGTCGTCGCGGTTGTTGCTGTCACGCTGGTCGTCGTCGCAGTCGTTGCTGTAACACTGGTTGTTGTCGCAGTCGTTGCTGTAACACTGGTTGTTGTGACAGTGGTTGCGGTTGTTGTCACGCTGGTCGCTGTAACGCTGGTCGTCGTCACAGTTGTGGCCGTGATGCTAGTCGTGGTGGTAGCGGTTGCTGTGACACTTGTTGCGGTGACTGTGGCTGTTGATGATGTAGACGTGGTAACTGTCATAGTGGTAGCTGTCATAGTTCCTTGCCACAAAGGTGCTGACCACTATAGCAGCAATAGCAACCCACCTGTTGTGGTGGTGGTGCACTCATCTTGGCCCATCCTTGACTTGCAAGTGCCCAAATGGAAACACACATGTCTCGCTGCACAATGCATCATGTGTTGGTTGTTTCTCACGATGCATCCACACACGGAAATTGCAAATCCAAGGAAACGCGGATGCAACTCCAAATTCAGGTCAGCATCGGGAGCACCAGCATACCAGGAACGAAAGACCTTCCATCTGGAAAGCCAGCCCAGCATGTCCTGAGACAAATGTGTTTACCTCCAGAACTTGCTTCAGTGGCTCAGCCAGCGGCTGACTGCGGCACAGCCAAAGCTGCGCCAGGAACACGAGGGAGCGCATCATGATTCCTGCCAAATCCAAGCATTAGTTCATCATACGCAGAACACGAGCTTCAAGCAGCCTTGCACTTCGCGCGCCAGTTCCGGACTGACCAGAACGGCCGATATTTGGCTCGACCCCGTCTGACTGTTGAGCCGAGGACAATGCAACAGAAGTACGGCTTGCTTCATGAACTGAAGCATGCAAGCATAAGTGGTTTCATACGAAAAGTATACTTTTGCATGATTCAGCAAAAGCCAGGTACAATTTGTCAGGATAGTACTCCATACCACAAAGCCAAGACAAATCAACTTCAGCCTGCACCAAATGATCTAGTCCGCAGGTTGCAGAACCATTTGCGTCAAGTATGCTCAGCAAAGCAATAGCAGCGTTTGAATTGCACACAAACATCGAGCTGCCCACCCCTCGAGGCACACAAGCCTTACACAATGGAACAATATTTGAAGACATGTGCACAAGTATCAGGTTTGAGTAACATTTTAAGCACGACCACAGTTTCACGGTGAATGCCATTCACAAAATGTGCACCCGGCGTTGCCACTGATGCCACTCAACATGATCTCCATGACGGTGAGTCCCGAGAAGTCAAGATCTAGACTCAAAGGGGGAGCTTCATCTTTTTTGCCTCCAATTTGCTCTGATTCGCGCTGAAAGCATTGGTCCAAGAAAGTTCGGGGTCGCGGGTGTTCGTTTCTCTTTCTGCGCCTGGGAACGCTCATTGAAATGGGTCGCTTCGTGTCGGCCTTCTATTGATCACTTGTCGCGAGGGCGCTCTGGCCGAAGGCCTTGACGCTCCATCGCTCGCGTGTTGAGCGGAGCATCCCAGGCGCTACTCGGACCGGCCTGGGGACTTGTAGCGTTGCGTGGGCTTTGGAATCAACTGCGCGTATTTGTCGTGTGTTTGTTGCGGGACACTATTCATGCTTGCGCGATCGATGTTCTTGTGGAAGCGACGAACTCCAAGCCTAGCCCCATTTCGGCTCTTCTGGGTTCAGCTTCACACGCATGAAGTAAACATTTCAGAGCTTTGCTTCGTGCCATGACAAATGGCCTTGATGTTTGGCCTTTCCAAATTTAAAATAGCACAAATGCAAGGAGAGATTCTAAGTGTCAAGAACCCATATAGTAGACTGTTTGGGGCAAAATCGCCCAAGTTTTTTTCTTCGAGAATCTGTTGACTTTTGCCGCGTTTCGTTTTGCAAGGGTTGTTTGACATTGGCTTGTGATAATGTGCAGCGGCTCCTGTTTGGCCATTGCGTTTGTCTGCGTGGCCAGCTTCTGTTTGCTGGTTTTTTGCCGTTGCTATGCTTTGTTTGCGCGTTTCATAGTTCCACTTCATTCAAGTGCCAGGTTTCGCCAGAATACAAGTGTATTTGTAGGCCAGATATGTTGCGCAATTTCAATTCTTTGTGAATGGGCTGTTGAATCATTCAGATCTACAAGCAGCCTAGGCCGCGTGCAAGAACAGTTGCGTGGCGTGCCAAAGATGTTGCAGGTTGTCCAGCTTTTCATTCGGCTGACCTCAAGTAGAGCTAAACGCAGAATTGTCGGCGGCAGGCAGCTATTGTGTGGGCACGGCACAGCCGTTGCAACGCACGGTGTTGCATCATATTGGTGAGTTGCCCGTGACATGGTTGCATAAACATCTGTCCATTATTGCGTGTAGTTAAAGCCATCTGAGTCGAGATGGTTCTACCCAAGAGCGAGCCTCTCCATGATACATCATAGCATTGGACACAGCAGTTTGTCATGCAGCGCGAATCTGCTTGGGGATGGTTTGAAGTGATAGTTTGCCATTTCTTTTAGTTTCTCGAGGGTTGTTGTCTTGAGTCGCTTGTTTTATTATGCATTTATAAGCACACAAAGGCACAGCAAGAACTGGAAACACATAGGTGAACTGGAGCGGCGGAGAATACTTCAATTTGCACATAGCAAAAGCAACAATGGAACAATGCACGCTCACAGTCCCCTGTTCCGTATTTCAAACCATGTTGCGCCGGCTGCTGGGGGGTTGCCAGGCCGGGTTTGGCGTTTGATTCGAACCTGGAAACTCAAATCTGATGTTGAGTTTCTGCAAGATGCGGATGGGATGACGTTCTTCTGGCTTCTGTGGGTGGCATGCGATACTTGGTGTTGCACAACTATGCTTGGCACAGCAGCAGCGGCAGCAGCAGCAGGCGCGACGAGCGCGAATGCTTGTGCGAGAGGCGCGAGGTTACTCAGCATACCTGCAATTCCGCGTGCTTTCGGTATGTCACGGACGCACACGGCCCGTTCCTTGAGGCCCAGAACTCAGTTCAGTGAAGGACGCGAACGTAAACCACGCCGATCGCCGTATGGCAAATGCACCGCGATCCCTAGATACTCTGCCGAGAGGCACAAAGCTTCAGCCAAGTGGCCGAATATTCGAATAACATGTGTTTGATTAATGCTAATTGTATGTGTAAAATCCAGTGTACAATGTGATCAAGAGTACATTATATACATATATATGTATAGTGGATTTCAATATATATTGTCAACACCTAGTTAGAAATTACTCAACAAATGACAACACCATTCATCCAATGATAAAAGCACATATCCAAATTCCACCCAACAAATTGACAGTTCAAATCAAAACACACATAACATGTCAACCAACTCATACTATGTATGTTTCAAGCTTCCAACAAAACAACGAATAGAGAACCTGTCTCATTTTACATCACAGTATAAACAACAACATAGACCATGTGCAATATTTTCGCCTGTATAGTTCATTCATAAACTATACGATTCAACGACACAAACATGAAACAAAAACAATCCTTAACATACCATAGATACATAAACCACATACTAATTGTTCTATGTAGACATATACGTAGACCTACTTTGTCAAAACATATAAAAGCAACGACACTACAACAATACTAAGTTTTGTTTGAACACAATCATCATAATAATCAAAGCAAACAACATTCTCAACTATTAAATGTCTAACACAGGCGACTGTTGAACGGAAATCACCAAATATATTCTGCAGCAATATTGCGTTGATCGTATGCAAACGCACTGTGCGCTATGGTACGGTTGGATATTGTACAGCAGAACCGCAGGCTTGGCGTCCATTAGGAGATTCAAAAGCCAGAGCAAGCGACGCGTGCACCCAAACCTGCCCGCTTTGTGCAGTTTCATCTAGGGTATCGCAGATGCAAACAGGCAAACTCGCACTCAAACCCTTGTGCTCCAGCGCGCATCTGACCTCAAAGCATGACAAGCGCGCTACTGGGGCTTCCGTCCATAACCAAGGCGGCAGCCACTTGTCCGACACTTCCACCGGCAGCACCTTACAGCGCTGGAAACGGCTGGCACAAAGGTAACGTCCAAAAAGAGGCATTTCAACCCTGGGCCAACCCCAAGCAGCGGATGCCGATCCACAGATTCCAGTCCTTCCCGCCCGTTCGCCGCTTGAGCTCAGCGCTTCAAGCGGGCTCTCTGGAGGCGTCTGAAGTGCCTCTCACAGTTCAGCTGTGCAGTCACTCTTTGGTGCCCTGCCCAGAGTCGTTCTGCATTCGATACATTGTGAAGTTGCCAAAGCTTTCAACCAGAACGAACATCCCACTGTGTCAGCCTCGTGCTTCAAGAAGTCGAACACACTGAAGTCAAATTGAAACACCTGGCGCAAACGTCACCTCATGCAAGTCATGGAATTGACTAAGTGCAAAGTCACATGCGCCCAAAGCCAGAGAGTACAGTGCAGTCGTTGCGCACAGCGAGTCTGCGGTTCTCCATGAGATGTAAGCGGCACGCGGCAAATTGCAAGCCGCTCCTTGGCATTGGGATCAGTGTAAATCTTGGGCATCTCCTTGGCAGCCTCCTGGCACTCTTTCCGCTTCCCCAGTCTGTGGGCTTCAACCACACACACCAGGATTCTGGGTCCACTACATCAGCTGGTGATTTGGAGAATTTTCTGGCCAAAAGGCATTCCAGGGACCCTCAAAACTGAGGGCTCAGGTCTCGAATCGAGATCTCGCTCCTGCATCCCAGAGCTGGGCGCTGCGCCTAGGTTGTGAACCCTCAAAAAAGACACCCTCATGTCTCAAAATTTGGGACCCCAACCATGGACTTCGGGTTTCCTGTTTCAACCGACCCTCGAAAAGCGCAGCGCTTGCCACACCCTCGCCTCCGGCATTTTCCAGCGACAGCTTGCCTATTCACAGAGCGCACGCAGATTTCCCCAAGGCTCAAATCAGGGTTTCAAGTCGGCTGAGTTTAAGTCTGCCTGGTTCAAAACCATGTTCACATTTTGCACATCCTTGCCTTCACGCTCGAAGGCAAAAGCCTGGGCCAAACGGAAAACCACTTTCAGCGCTTCATGTGCGTGCCGCGCCTGCGGGGATGCCTGCAGCGGCGAGTCCGCCCAAGGCACCTCGGGCATGGGCACCTCAGTGTGAACCGCCCCAATGTATCACACTGCCGCGGAACTCTGCTGGCAAGCTTGCCGCGCTTGCTCTTTGCGTTCGCGTTCTCCATGCGATTTCTCAATCCATGACCGAGCCGGAGCTGGAACAGTGATCCTGTAGCTGGAAAAGTGTTTACGCGCTACTTTCATACTGCAAAACTTTACGAGCTGGAGCCCAAAAAGCGCACTTTGCGTACCACATTCATACTAAGAAGCGGCGACGATCGAGCTGGAACGTTCGTGCTGAACAACTGGGATGTTTGAGCTGGGGCTGGAAAGCGCTTCGTGCGCTGCTTTCGCGCTGGCAAGCTTCTGAAAACGCGTACTTTGCGCCGACGCGCAATGTGTTGTGCGCTTGGCGTGCCAGTTTTGCACTGGAAGAACTTTGCGCGCACCTTCTTGTGCTGGACTTGCGCGCCCTCTTTGCAAGCTGTCTTTGAGTGCTAGGCTGGCCCTCGGCGTTTGTGTGATTTAATGCCGCCTGTCTTTGCAAGCGGATGTCCTGATCTGTCTATCTCCTACCTACCTACCTACCTGCCTACCTACCTAGCTGTCTCTACAGCATCTGTCTATCTGCCTGTCTATCTATCTATCTATCTATCTATCCACGCATCTCTTCCTATCTATCTACCTATCTTCTATCTAATGGTCTACACAGCTATCCATGCAAATGCAATTTATCTTTCTAGTTTACCGAGCGAGTGTATCTGTGATCCTTCGAATCTACAAATAGTTCTTTCTGTCCGTCTGTTAGTCTGTCAGTCCGTCGTTAACCTGTCTGTATTACTCAGCATGTTTCTCATCTCATCCCACCTAACCTCACCTGGCCACCTACCTGTCCATCTGTTGGGTCTATCTGTGTATCTATCTTATCTGTCTCTTCTGTCTGTCTATCCATGTATCTGCCTGTTTGTCTATCCATCTATCCGCATATCTGTTCTTGTCTGACGCTGTCTCGTCTATCCATCGATTGCTATCTATCGATCGAGCTACATGGAATGACACATCGTTGACAATTCGTCAAATTGAGCTGGATGCGCCTCTCAGAACCGAAGGCTCTCGGTCATTGAACTCCTGATTCTGACTCTCCCCTCGTTGACTGGCAAAAAACCTGCGTTGTTTATCGGTGTGTGTATCTACGATGTCCATCTCTGCATCCATCCATCTATGCATCTCTGTCTACCTATCTGCTTAACAATCTGTCTACATGTATCCATTCATCTGCGTTTTGATGTCTGTCAATATCTATCCATCTATGTACTTGCCAGCCGATTTGCTTCTTTGTCGACTGCGCACGTTCCAAGCAAAAACCGTGACGCGTCCACCCCAGAAACACAAATGGTAATGGCGCGGCCACGCATCGGCAGGTTTGAGCAAACAATTGCGCACGCATTCCAAGCAAAACACTCGAAATGTCCAGCCTGGCAGATCACATTGGCGCACCAACTCTTCTAAACTGGCCAACAACTTTGCCATACTGGAATTACCACAAATACGCAATGGACATTGGAAGATTCGCGAGACTTCCGGTTGTTTGACGGAAATCTCGTGAACCCCAATGTCCTTTGCAAGCTGGCCACGCAACCGCATCTCTTGGGGCCCGACCGCCAAGGCAGAGCCCTCGCTCGACCTGGAGGCGATTTTGCGTCCATGCCAAGCCTTCGGAGGGTTCACGGCCTCGACTGCGGCTCCACGGGCTCGACGATCTGACACCAAAACTGCGGTAAAAGGGGGGGGGGATCAAACTGGTCGGGCGCGGCAAAATCTCAGGGGATCATAGAAATGAGGTTCAAACTCAGACCCGAATATCAAACGAGTTTGTCAAAGTGGGCCCGACAATAAGCAAAGTGGGTTAATCGTCGATCGCT